TAGGTCCAAGAAAGTCTTACCAGCAGATTTGTTTACATCAAGTCTTTTTAACATTTAATCCATGCCGTGATTCACCAAAAAGCAGTAAACGAAAGCTAGAATTTATTAACAGGATTTAAGGATTAAAAAAGTTAACGAAGATAAAGATGATGCTATTGTTGTAGACTCAATTGTATTTGCTGACAAGGTCATTGTATCAAACTTACGAAATGATGACTTTAAACGAGACTGCTGATATTCTTGTTTCATCAACTTTTTTGTCGATAATTTACTTAGAATTAGAAATTGGACATACGTTGAGCATACTCTTGCGTATCGAATCAGCTGAGAGATATAAACCTCGTATGCAGGTGATGAAGGTATATTGCTGCATAAGTATAAGGAAAGTTGACGATTAAAAAGTTAAAGTCATCCCATTTATGATAGAGTTTGGCACAACTGAAAAATAATAAAGCCCGAGGGTATAATCAAGTTTGTAAGGAATATACATGTATACTTAAACAAGTCATGTTTTTACCACTATATGATGATTTTTTAAACCAATATTCAAAAACAAGGGCGACTCGACCCTTTTTGAGAATAACAGACTAATAATACTATCAAGCTGTTTAGAAAAAGTATTTACAGTATTTTGATTAGTGAACGTTTGAATCCATTTACAGATGAATAAGAACGACAGCTGAAGACCAAGTTGGCTTTAGAAAAGGATATCGCAAAAAACATAATAATATGTTGATATAGGGTTTTTTGTGTGTGTGTAAATTTGTTTCTTTCAGCAAGAAAATACATAATTGATTTTAAACAAACTGGAGGTCTGATTTATTACTATATTTATTTATTATTTTATTATTTATATTTATATATTTTATTATTTATTTACAATATTTATATTAAAATTTTATTTTAAAAAATGTTTACAGATGTATCAAATCAAAGACATTTTATTCATCAACACACTTTGAATTTCTTTATGCTTTTCTGTGTAACATGGGGTGAGACAGGGAAAAATCCATTATCATTTTTTTTTGATATACAATTTATATAAACAATTTAGAAAGCTTTCTTTTGCAGAATGACGTTAAGGAGTAATGGGCCTTCAATTCGACATTTAGATATATCGACGACGTACTGTCAATTAACAATTATAATTTCCATATGTCAATACGATATATCCTAGTCAGCTTGAGATAAAAGATACCACAGAGTCTGACACATCTGTTTCATACTTGGATATTTTACTTGAAAAAGACGTTAACGATAATCTAACAACAAAGCTCTATGATAAACGTGATGACTTTAACTTTTCTGTCGTCAACTTCCCTTACCTATGCATCAATATACCTTCATCACCTGCATACGGAGTTGATTCGATACGCAAGAGCATGCTCTACGTATGAACAATTTCTAAAACGAAGTAAATTATTGATAAACAAGTTGATAAAACAGGAATTTAAGCCGTCTCGTTTGAAGTCATCATTTCGTAACTTCTATGTTCGATACAATGACCTTGTCAGCAAATACAATTTATCATTGAGTCAAATGACGACTGACGTTTTTCATACTTATTGTTATTTATTATTATATGTACACTGATTTATTTTTTTCGTTATTTCCCGATCATGACAAGGAGCACATGGCGGGTGTGACCGGTCGGCAGGGGATACTCACTCCTCTATGGCACCTGATCCCACCTCTGATGTGCTGGAGGTCCGTGTTTGCTCTGTTCCTATTTTGTGTTATTTTATGGACTTTTGATTTTGAATACTTTTCGTTATCTCCATATATGTATGTTTCGCTTTATTTAGAAATTAGATATTGATATGCAGACTGTTAAAACTACTTATACTTCTTTTATGTTGATGACACAGTCAAATTGTGTATAACAGCCGTTACCCGGAATCCTACAAAGATCTTCGAATATTTTTCGAACTTTTGGGAGTCTCAGGTAAATGTTAACAAGACTGAACACTCAGTTTTCTTCTAAAGGAAGAATTCCAAAGAATTCCAAAGTAAATATTTCTATATCAATTGAAATTGTGAACGGATTAAATACTAGTATTTAGGTGATCTCGTTTAATAATCTGTTAATCTATACGTACTCTTCTTCCTTACTTGACTTTGTATTATGTATATGTTTATGCACCTCATATACAATTGTAATTGTCTGAGAGTAATTAACCAAAAAAATCAAGTTTAAATAAACAAAGTATTTATCATACCAAAACTATGGTGGCTTCTTTATGCCATCCACATAATTTTTTTGTCAACTTAGCATTTCATGCCAAGTCGAGATAACTTTCTCGTCCAGTCATGAAAATTTTCTGGTTTGTGAACAAACGCCGACTTCGTATCTTGTCCACTCAAGATAATATAGCACATTTGTTGCGATAGCTATCTTGACTTGACGAGATAACTTATCTTGCATCATGAATAAAATAGCTATCACAAAAATACGATCGCTAATTTTTACTGGACAAGAAATAAAGTTGGCATTTGTTGAAAAACAAGAAAGTTTTCATGACATGACGAGATAGTTATCTTGACTTGACTTGATATGCTATGTTATCGCAAATCTCGCTTGAAAGTATTACACTTAGGCCGAAATAGCGTTGCCTTGAGTGATGACACTGTTGGATTTAACAATTGAAAAATTTGAATCACAGATTTCATTTATAAAACAAGCGTTTTAATTGGTTGATTAGAACCCGCCCACTCTCGTGCGGTATCCTTTGCCTGTATAAGTTGGAGAGCGTCCAACGGCCCATCGTCGCAAACCACGGCCATGATGTATGCTCCTCTCCCATCTGGAGAAAGCTATATATGCGGACTCCGGACCGTGGCTTGAGACGATTCCAACGGCCTAGCGAAATGCCATGTTTGATTGTCGGAAAGCGTTGTTGACTTTCTGAAGAAAAAACACAAAAAGCAAACAAAATATAAAATAATGTTTAGCATGTGATTTGTTTGGAGAGGACTTACATAGGCCATGCCTGATGTCCAACCCAGTTATGTAATCTTACTTTACATGATAAAATATTGATTAAATTAATTAAATTAAATTAGCATGTGATTTATTCCTTACGGAGACGGTGCATGAATATCATTCGATGGCGCACAGTATTTCATTTTATCCTACATGTATTTCTGCCGATTTCCTATTTATGGCATTTTACATTTTATAGGCGTAGTTCTGTGCGACTTTTCAGTGCATTAAAAATCTTTTGTTCTCCATGTTTTAATCACAAGTGAGCTATTTCATAGCAAATACAAGCAAATTTAAAACGGGGGTAGTACTGGAAATCATGCGATTACCCAGTGCTCTGATAACGGACCACTTGTTATTCAGTGAAAAAAAATATATAAATTCATAAGTGGTAAAACACGAAAAACATCGGATTTATTCAAAAGTTTACTGTTTTATTGTCACGACTGTCAAAAATACCACATGTTTTAAATGCATGTGTGCTACTACATACCCATTTCAATCGTCGTCATAGCAATGAACATGCGACCAGAAAAATCTAAATCCTTGTGCTTTTTTTCAGGCAGTGCAATTTTTACTGTTACGGCGAATGTTATTCATTAAAAATAAGAAAAATCAATTATAATTCATGTTAAAAATAAATGATATAACAACATTTACCAAATCTACGTACGTTTAATTTTATTGATGTACAGAAGAAAAAAACGAGAGAAACGGTCGTGTTCATGTGGCCCGGGAACATGCATCTGATACGAACATGACATGTATTCAGTCAACTGCTGCCAGTTGTGGAACATATCGTATTTGAAGATCATTATACAGATTACCCACACTCACAATAATTTACTAAGGTATTGCGTAGGTCTTCTACATACTTAGTGCAATAAGTACCACTTTTTGCCCGTTTTCTATAGGTGTTCTACCTTTCTTGGAAACATTCCATATCTTCGGCTTTACATTTGAGAAAATGACAACACTATACGATTTCTGCAGACCACTCATACTGTATCTTGTAACACCGTTTGTTGTGACCTGTACATCACTTATGTCTCACACTGCATTGGTTAATGAATCGTAAGAAAGGGGGACGCTGAAACCTGTTTGTTAAGCATACGTGTTACGATGAACGTTTGTTAAAATCAGATTCAACATCTTTATCAATTTTCCTTAAAAAAGTCCATGCTTTACAAATATATATGACAAAAACTAAAGTGACACCACCCTAGCAAGTTCTCTTTTTGATTTCTATGTCTTAGTAGTCAGTGTCAGATCATCCTTGTACCCGTTCGACGTCCGGTGTGCACTTTTAAATCTAAGTGGTCATAAACGGATATATATAAAGGTCTGCGTTTGTGTGAAGGAGGGTGTTTTTCTGGAGACAATAGCATTTCTTCTAGATAATGGCAAAATTTGAGCTTTTTTGTGAGAGTTAATGTTTTTTAGATTTAGAAATCCTGATTGAATGTTGAGATTTTTGCAAAATGTATGGCTAATCACCCTCGGTTATTTGAACCTCGGGGGGGGGGGGTATTTTTCTAAATACTTTACTTTTCTTGAAAGTGGAAGGAACACTAGAAACTGTACGTAATTTTACATATCAAAGTTATAGCAAAAGACCTTACTTGGAAAAAGCCCCCCCCCCTCTTCTCTGTTTTATGAGCATGTCTTGACATCCAAATAAAACTATTTAATTAAATATATGATAATATTTCATTATTTTAAAACATATGATCCAAACATTTGAAAAACATGGATTGAACACTGTAGAATGTGTCGAGCTTTGCAAGTGATTTTCAGTGATTTCTACTAATACCTTAAAAGGAATTAAATTGTGTTAAACATGAACATGTACAGAAATTGAAATGAAACAAATCAGGGTCACGGTATTATTTGTCAGATCACGTTTTGAGTCTAAATTTAAATAGCAAATAAAGGAGAATTCATAGAGTTGTTGTTATTAAACGCATGAATCAGTAGTGTAAAACTTTCGTTTTACCTGTAACACTACGTCACACAGGTAAGTCATCGATGACCACTCTAAAAATAGATCGATCGCATTAAAGGTAAAATACCAATTCATGAATCTTTAGTACAAACACGCAAGAAGAAGTTCTTGGTTGTAAACTAGGAAGTGATACAGGTGACATAGACTACAGCAGATTGACGGGGATGGAGGGGAGTAGACCGGGTGTTACCGAGGATTTAGCCACCCTCGCCAACCTAGACGGCAAGGTGCTACTCAACGAACTCAAAGTGCGATACACGGAAAACAATATCTATGTAAGTAAACATTGTCACATAAACCGGTTCAGTATGTACTCTCAGATTCTCTGTGCTGGTATACCCAGCTAGATTGATTTGTTTTTTCAATACTTTGTCTCCATGTCGATGTAAAATTTAATATGGGCGTGACATTTTCTTCTTTTATGAAATGTATCAGATTATTCTTGTTTCACAGTCAGGAAAAGAAACCTTAGAAAGCAGATTACTAATCCATCAGTGCATGACACTAACACACTCGTCTTGCTTAAGGATCCTTTCTTCTTTTTTAAATTACTGCAAAAAATGTTATTTTAATTGCCAGGTTGCTCTCTTTGTCCGGTATAACTATGCATTTTTACCATGATCTCTGTACATTTATTATATGTTTATGAATTTGTTCGAGAGAGAGAAAGAAAGAGAGAGAGAATGTAAATCAAGAAAAAAACATTTATCTGCATTAATGACTAAAAGTACTTGTAAATGATTTCTGCTTTATATCTGGCTTTGTATTGATCAGTCGTTATCATCTACAAAGTGTACTTTTAAAAATGTGTTCGTATCAGCAAAAGAAAAATTAAGGCAGAAACGATGTACTTCACAACCTATGTAAGGCCATTTGAATTGTTACGTACTGAATAATGGTTATATTATATACATATGTATTTTTCCGTTTGTACAATCCTGACAAGGAGTACACTAAGGATGAGACCGTTACTTAAACGGGGGGGGGGTGCTTAACTGCTTATATTGTACATGTACTTCTTCATATGGGACCTTATATCCCACCAATGCTGATTTAGACATGTCTCTGATCTTTATCGTTTCGGTCACTGGTATTTGATCTTGAAAGCGGTTCGAATCGTTATCTCCATATTTCATACATGGGCAACAAATTCCGTATATATATAAAAGCATGATTTAAAGAAAAATGCATTTTAAATATTAAATTCATCCCCTTCTGGAATCTATCATAGATATGATTGTGTATTTGCGATGTGTAAATGCATTCCGGAACTAAATGATACTCAGCATGTGGTTTCTTCTGTTAAGTGTTACTCGCAGATTTGGCGGGAGAATGTCATCTGCGAAGAAATATCATTAGTCTCATTTATTTATTTTTCAAAAATTGACAATGTAATATAATCTTTTTTGTAGACTTACGTTGGAGATATTCTGGTTGCGATCAATCCCTACAGACCACTTCATATCTATGGAGAAGAAGTAAGAAGTGACGACCATTAACTGAATAATTCAAAGAACTGCCAAGTAAACTTTTATTAATTATTTTCCTGTGATTTTCATCAAATTTGCACTTTTAGGAAACGCAGAAATACTATTTGGAAAAGAAAAGTGCAAATCCACCTCACATATTTGCAATAGCTGACTCTGCATACCAGTGTATGCTTGGATATGGTGGACGAATTCCTAGAAACCAGTGCATTCTTATCAGGTAAAGGGAAAGGTCATCACTTCTTATAAAGATACAGGAGTAATTGACAGAAGTGTATACAGTAGGCAAACATTGAAGACATCGATCATACCAGCAATTACATGTATGCCAAGAAAACACCCCTTCTCACTTCCATGTCTTGAAAGTAAAGTGAGTTGCTTTTCTTTACCCCTTTCATAAAACGAAAAATAACTCTAGATCTGTGGCAAGTGCTTTTGAAAAATGCTGTGACAAAGAAACCCAAAATTATTATAAGAATTAAAATAATGAGTAGGGAGATTTGGGACATCTTCACTAGCCAAAGGTACAATCCGCTCCTCTTCTCAAAAGAGAATTATTGTAGATTGTCACCTTTGAAGGATGATTTTGGAGATGAAGTGGCTAGATAAAATTTTTACTTTGAAGTACAAAACATGTACTGTTACTCTTCTGTGTTTATTATTTTTCAAACCAGTGGTGAAAGTGGAGCAGGTAAAACTGAAAGTACAAAGCTGATCATTAAACAGCTGATTGAGTTATGTCGGGGAAACACTCAGCTGGAACAGCAGATTCTACAGGTCAACCCATTGTTGGAAGCATTTGGAAATGCCAGAACAGCCATGAACGACAACTCCAGTCGCTTTGGGAAATACATCCAGCTGCTATTTTGTGAAGGACATGGTATATACAATTGCTCCTAGATTGTTAAAAGAAATGATATTAAATGCTTTTATGCAAATTCTGTGGTGTGATGAAATGTATTATTTATTGTGTTAACAGTTACTGGTGCCAAAATCTCTGAATACCTATTGGAAAAATCTAGAGTGGTCCATCAAAATAAAGAGGAGGAAAACTTTCACATATTCTACTACATGTTTGGGGGATTATCAGCTGAGCAGAGAAAAGAATATAACTTACTTCCACCTGAAAAACAAAGGTATCATTAGATGTCATAAAAAGTAAAAGCAGAGACATGCATTATTAATCACAAGATTAATTATTCAATATTGCATTTTCTCACCATGATAATTGCATTTTTTCCATCATCCATATTACTTCTGTTATGCCAGGTACTTTTCAAATGGTGCTGATTGTCTGAAACGAGAACCCACCCACTTTAAAAAGCAGTATGAGGAGCTGGTGAATGCCATGGACCTGGTGGGCTTTACAGACGAGGAAGAAGAGAATCTCTTCAGTATTATTGCAGGGGTCCTTCATCTGGGAAATGTGACCTTTGACATGGATGATAACGATGCATCTTTTGTAGAGGATGAAAATGGTCCAATCAAAATGGCTGCTGTAAGGATTTTTCTGATACCTATATAGCTCATTTAGTCAATGTTGATTTGTACTATTGTAAAGTTACTAACAAGAAATCAAAAATAGATGGAGGAAAACTTATTACATGTATAGTTTTATCTAATTGCAGAAGGTCCTAGGAATAGGAGGGGAGGAGTTGATTGGTACTCTAACAAATATGGTGACCTTCACACGAGGAGAACAGGTCAAGCGGCACTACACAAAGGCTATGGCTGAAGGTACATGTACATGCAATATATGGCAAGGAAATCTCTGGCATGGACAAAACTAAAAGAATTTTCTTAGGAATAATTATTACCTTACAATTTTTTATCTGAGTGTATTTTATATAATTTTTGTAAGTACACTGTAGTTTTATAACACAAACATTGCAGGCTTCTTGGAATGCATATGTAAACAGAAATACAATTTTAACTTTAGATGCAAGGGATGCTATGAGTAAATCCCTGTATGGCAGATTGTTTGGATGGATTGTCAACAAAATCAACCAACTACTGGCTCAAAGGGATCAGTCGGACATTGAACCAAGAGAAATAGGTTTGTATCATAAGACACCTTTAAAGTATATTTTTTACCATGTCTCCACTTTAAATGTTAAACATGTTTTGAAGGAGAAAAAGCATGTGAAACTTGAATGTGGATATTTCTAGTTCACGAATAGAATTGGTTAATAGTACTGAATTAAAAAATTTTATTGAAAAATCATAATTTAACACACATATTTGTAAATGTTACAGGCATACTAGATATATTTGGTTTTGAACACTTTGAAAAGAACAGTTTTGAACAAGCCTGTATAAACCTTGCAAATGAACAGCTACAATTCTTCTTTAATCAGGTATGTAAATGTTTCATCTCCCTAATAATTTTGAAAATAAAAATGAATTGAAATTTTTGTTTTGAAATTTACAAAATTCTTGCATATATAATGTGTTTTGCAGAAGTAATATGTTAATGATTTGTCTTTTTCATACAAAAGCATGTATTCAAAATGGAGCAGGAGGAATACATAAGAGAAGGGATTGATTGGAAAGAAATTAAATTTGTAGACAACCAACCATTATTGGTAAGGTATAATGTTCAAAATTATTCATTTATTCTGTAAATGATAATATATTGCTACAGATAGATAAAAAGAAATATATTTTAGGTTTAATATAAATGGATGCGTACTTCCAATATTTTAGGATCTCTTCCTGAACAAACCAATCGGAATTTTATCCCTTCTAGATGAAGAAAGTCATTTTCCTAAGGTAACAGCCTTATTTACAAACATTATTTTGCATGTATGTGAATAAGTTTATTAAGGACTTGCTCATTTTAATATACAAAAGTAAATTGAAAAGCTTTATAAATTAAGATTTAAACAAATATTGTAGGGTACAGACCAATCCCTTGTGGAAAAGCTGAACATTCACTTTGGAGGGAATAGTTATTACGGAAAATCAGCTCAGTCAAACTCCCGCAAGTTTTCTATCAACCATTATGCAGGAAAGGTCTGTAAAATACATGTATCTACAAGAGCTAGGTTTGATATTTAAATAATAGGCTATATTTTGACATAGATATACCCTGCAGAATAACTTCCTAAAATATAATTTGAATATCATAGTAGTCAATTATATAATTTTTTTATAACACTCACAATAAACAATCAAGTAGCTTTAAATTCCCATATTCTAGGGCCTCAGATTTAGTACAGATTTGCTGTCAGTATACTACTGTTATATTATACAGACAAACTTATTCTTGTCTTCAGGTAACATACGATGCCAGCAGGTGGCTGGAGAAAAACCGAGACACGCTTCCCCCAGGACTGATAGAAATGTTACAGAGCAGCTCAAATGATCTTGTTAAACTCATCTTCAGAGGCATGTTTCATATTGATCTCAATTTCCTGCATATTATGATCAAGTGTTATGTGTTTATGATAAATAAGATTTTATGTTTAAAATAATTTACTGCTGTTCATTATGAAAAATGTGTTAATTGTAGGACAGATCACAAGAACTGGTAGTTTAGCACTTCAGGCAAGGAAATCCACCAGAACAACTAGACGGAGCAAGGTTAGGACTCATTTAATCATTGTCAGTCATATGTGGCATCTTACAAAATATCTTTGATACATAAAGTATTTAAAATATTTTGCTTTTTCTTTCAGAAGCCACCAACAGCAGGTAGTCATGGTGGACGGAAGAGGAAACAGACGGTAGGAGGACAATTTAAGGTGAGTGTGCCTGATCATTTGTGGTTTGCATGTATGTAAATATACTGCAGATCACCCAATAGAGTTCTTGTAAATAAAAACTGATTTTCAAATATATATTAAGAATGTAGATTGCTGTCTTTTTGCACTATTGTTGTCTCACTGTTGTTTATAAATGTTAAGACCTCCCTGAGTATTCTGATGGAGAGAATGATGTCCTCATCCCCAGTGTTTGTACGATGTCTGAAGCCAAATCATGTCAAAGTCCCAGGAAAGTTTGATGATAGCTACATACAAGACCAAGTAAGAACTGGATGCAGGCAATCAATGTTGACTTTGATTACTTAGCTTATTGGTATTGGTGCAATTTATAAACATTGTGTAGAAGAGTATCAAAATAACTGTAAATTTAAAAGTAAAGACCTAGAAAAATGATATGAGAAGAAAAGAATTGCATCCTTAAAAGTTGAATTGCAAATCTGTCTATCTACGTTTTTGTACACTGGTATGTTTGCTTTAGTTATTGTACACTGGTATGTTGGAGACCATTAAGATTAGAAGAGAAGGGTTTGCAGTAAGGCCATCATTTGCAGAATTTGTAGAAAAGTTTGTATATTTTATTAATATTTTGAAATTCTTTTGTATCCAAGCACTGTCTTGTATTTTTTGTGAGTGAATATAAAATGCTGTCATAAGATTTAATGGTTTTAATTTTTTTTCATTACAGATACAAAATTATTGTATGTGAAGCAGCATTACCAGGGACAAAAGAAAATTGTTATAAAATTCTAAAGGCCAGCAAAATAGCTGGCTGGCAGATAGGGTAATCTTCTTTCTAATTTTTTAAACAGTTAAGTCCAGCTTGAAAAATTCTTTGTTCTTAATTCTTAATTTTTTTAAGTGGATGGGTACTGGGGGACAGTTTTTTTTTTTTAAATATTGTAGTTTTCAAACTTTTGTTACAGAGCAAAAGTTATAAACATAATTGTATAAGCAATTAATTGATAAACCAAAAAAAAAACAGAAAATGAAACAGCTTCAATATCCTAAAAGCTTGAAACCTTGAAAAAAAATACCCCAAAAAAGCTGAAAAAATTTAAGGTTGGTTGCATTTTCAGTGTTTTGTAGGTAACTGCAAACAAGTGAATTTAAATTTTTATTTTAGGCCTTAGGTTTATATGAATTATGCTTAGAATAATGTTCAGTAAAATGTCTTTCAAACGAGTTACACATATTTATATGTTTAAGTGCAGTATTTTAAAAAAATTACATGTACCTTGATATTTCAATATCAAATTGGGTTTTTTTTTTTCATTTCAGCAAAACTAAGGTTTTCATGAAATACTTTCATTTAGAACAGCTTTCAGATGTTTTAAAAACAATGGGTGTTTCTGCCATAAAAATTCAGAAAGGTATGTAAAATATATTTACATGTAATATAACTATGAGGTTCAGCTTTTAGATTTGATAAGAATTTAACAATAAAAAAAGAGTAAAGAGATAATGTGGCTGAGATCAATTATGCATGAAGTGATTTTATTTCAGTGGTAAGGGGATTTATTGGTCGTCAGGAATACAAGCGAAGACTTGCTAAAGCTAAAAGTGAAGCAGAAAGATTAAAGCATTTGGCTGATGATATTTATAACCTTAACATTCATCTGTGTAATCAACTGCAGATAGCCAAACAAAATGATGATAATATTCCATCTAGTAAGTATGCTGCCAATACCTAGTGACATCTTAAATTACCCAACTGAAAAGAATGAAAATTGAGCTCTCTATCTCTCAAATTTTAAGAAAGGCTTAGTCAAAACTTGTAATAAAACATCTATGCTTTTTATTGAAGATTTTTATTTATATATCTGTGATACAAATTTTATCCTCTACATGCATATATATATATATAAAATAAAGGGGAAAAAAGCTGCAAAATTGTGTGGTTTTTATTTTGATAATAAATGATTCAGATAAGACAGAACTGCAGTGATTGTCTTTTTACAAGGTTTCTTTGGTGTTCCTGATGGCTCTGACCTTCCACCAATCCCTGATTTCACTGATGTTCAGTCTGTACAGATGAGTACCAGGAGTTATGAAAAACCAGCACCAAAAAAGACTTTTCATGAAATGGGCACCCAGGTATGTGTTGTGAAATTGCTTTTAAACTTTTAAAATAAGGATACCTTGATTATACCCAACTCTGAAGGAGAGGGGTGTGTGCTATTTTACCCATGTAAATCTGTGTTTGTCTGTCCAAACAAATTTTTGTCACAGTTTTCTCAGCAACCACTTCTCCCAAATGCTTGAAATTGTAGCACATTCTTTGTTTCGGCATGCCATATGGTGAGATTCATTTTTATATGAATCCATTGTCAGCTTCCTGTTGTCTGTCTGAACGAAATTTCTGTCCCAGTTTTCTCAGCAACTACTTGAAATTTCAGCACACTTTTTGTTTAGGCATTGGGTATGGTGGGTTTCAAACTTGTAAGTACCCAATGTTAACTTCCTGTTTGTCTGTAATTCTGTCTAAACCAAATATTTCTGTGAAAGTTTTCTCAGCAACAACTCATCTCAGATACATAAAGTTTAAGCAGTGATACACTCTTTGTTTTGGCATTCCATATGTTTGGATTTTTTATGTCAACATCTGATGTTTATATACCTGTTTATCTCTTCTTCTGTCCAAACAGTGTATATTCACTTAAGACTGGTAGTATTACTAGTGAGCATCCACTGGTTCACAGACCTCTTGTTTAAAGTGTTCCGAATAGGAACTGAAATAAATGTAAAAAAGATTATTTTATATTTTTGAAAAAGAAAAAAAGTGTTGAGACTAAATGCAAGAATATTTAATTCATGTACATGTATTCAGGCCTTTTTGTTAAGAAATGTGTTGAGAGGGAGATTCCTATTAAACATTAAATTTACTTTTTCAATTATTTTTAGAGAAGAGGATCCAAAAGGTCACTTAACTTACTGTTTATTGTTTCAAGCTCTTTTCTTTTTTTTTTTTTACATTTTTTATTTGCCTTAAACTCCTGAAAATTTTGCTTATTTTGTTTTGATAGTTATGATGAGGAACATACTAACTGAATTTTATCAAAATTAATTTACTTGGCCTCATTTTGTTAAAGGGCTTTAAAATCTTTTGTGCTTTGCATGTTCATTATAGTATACACAAATTACATCCTTTGAATATTTCGTTTTTTTCCTTTATTTTTTTTAAAACAATCAGAACAATTTTCCTTTAAACCTGTAAGATCTTTCTTATATTTATCTGTATTACTCCACATAAGTAAAGTCATGTATGTAAAGGGTCGACAGATTCATTATAGGTTCCTCCATCTTTGTAATGTATTAGATCAATGCATTATCTAGTACATTTACACCCACTTGAGTTGAATAATATCTCAAGTATGTGTAACTTCAACTCCATGGATATGTTGAAACAAGTATGAAGTCCAAACTATTTTTTTCATTGACTAATTAATTCAACATCAATATTTCATATCCTCAGATGTCTTGAAATTTCTCTTCAGGCCCATTAAATTCAATTAAGATAATGCAATTTGACCCTTATTTTGATATATGTATGGTTCATTTAAAGGCGGAAGTTAGCTCCTCAGATTCAGAGTTTTCAGAGGATGAATTCAAGCCTGTGTCCTCCCACAATTTTGGTACCCCAGGGACCAGGATGGCCACGGTGCGATGGTTCAAAGAGACCCAGACTCATCAGGTCTATGATCCTATCAATGTCAGCGGAAATTTTATTGCAGAGTGGTTCCATGGTGTCATTAGTCGCAGGTAATTCAATCAAGTTCTGCAAAGAGGGTATTATAATATTGTAATATTGTAGATTACTAATTTTTCCTGCCACCTTATTTTTGTGATATGGTCATTTACTCTTAATTACGAGACAAATTTTGACAAATGTGTTTTCTTTAGAAATGTGTATATACGTGAGAATTTCATATTATCACTGTCTTGCTTAACTGCATGAAAATAAAATTCTCATGAATAAAAATATATTTAGAGTAGTTAAGGAGATGTACACATTTTAATTCCAACTAAATACCTGTAGAGAGACATGCTAGAAAATATCATTTGAATTCCTTGAATATACATGCAGTGAAACTATCTAATCTGGATGTTGGGTAATCTGAAATCTTGTCTATTACAATGATAACTCTCTGTCCTTTTGAGTAAGTTAGCTGTTTAAAATCTAGAGTTTTGTCTAATCGAGTCAATTTCTATAAAATGATGGTTTTCTGATTAGAAAAGTTTCCCTGTATAAAGCATTAACCGATATACAGGTACTACAAAAGCAGATCAATGAACAAAAGGTGGCAAAAAATTCTTTCATAATAAATAATTCTTTCGTGATAAAACCTGTATTTTTCATGTAATAGTGTTTAGTTTTTTAACATAAATGAGTTATTTGGATGCTTTAAATTACAATTAAAAGAAATGATTCTCCTGTTCCAACATATTGAAAATAATGCGAGGTTCATGTATGATAATCTCAGTGATCTTGTATGTAGGGGTAAATCTGCATATATTGAAGAATGGTAGGGCCACGATGACTCAGATAAGCATTATGATCCATGGTTCGGGTCTCTTGTATTGGATTTAAACATTTTACAAATCCTATTTGTACTTTTAGAGAGTCAGAAACCTTGTTAAAAGGAAAACCAAGAGGCTGTTACCTTATTCGAGTCAGCGAAAGCAGATTTGGTTACACATTATCTTTTAGGTAAATCAGAGTTTTTATGAATGGATTTTGTAAATTGAAGGTGTATACATTACTTTGATTTGTAAAAGGTAGCGTATATCATTTGCTCCTTTTTGCATATATCCATACACCAGTGAGTCCTCCAAGCTTAATTACTACAACTGTATGCTCTGATTCAATTAATGGTGAAATGAACATTGATAATTGAAAACAAAATGAAAAACAAAATTAATTACTTTTGCTCCTGTATTCAGTGGGGGAGATCGAACAAGACATTACATGATTGATCAGCTTCCAAACAAGAAGTATATAATTATTGGGGAACCTAAGGTCCACAGAAATCTGAAGGATCTGGTGGAATATCATAAAAACGTAAGATACAATTTCATCTTTCTCTCCAAGCTATTATTTCACAACAATATATTATACTCATGTTCCTTGGATTATTTTTTTTTTCATTTTTATAGGTTAAGATATCCAACTGGAATGGTTACCTTACAGAACCATGTGGGCAGGTAAAATATTGACATTTTTAAAAGGATTCTTTGAAAATTAAGGAAGGATGACAACATTTATGATATACTAAACAAATAACAATGATTAAAATAGCTAAAAATAAAATTTATTTATTTTTCATAAGATATGTCTATTTTACTGCAGGAACATGGTGTGTGTGACTACCAGGAATTGGTCGGAGACAATATGTACTTCAAACTGGAAGAAAACTCCCAGGTAAAACATAGAGACTATCTTTATTGTCTTAATGTAAAAACATCATTATACTTGTATACAATTTTCTTAACTTATGATTGTGCTATGAATGATTTATTCAAAGTAACAATATTTACAGAATAAATCTAGTCATCAAGCTACAAGAAATCCACAGAGAGTAAGATTTTAGAATTCTTGTTTTCTGCATGATGGTCACTATTTAAAAAAATTATAACCCATAATGCAAATTTTGAAATTAACTTATAAAAAATACTTTAAAACTTTTTCTGGTTTAAAGTCTGATAAAGATAAGTATTTGTATTAATAAATTATTAAATTAACATTTTAACTCACTGAAGAGAATATTTTGGTTGTCTGTTTTGAAATCAACATGTTGTGTTTTAGCACCTGACTCGTCCTTATGTGTGAGTCATTCTTCCTGTCACATCAAAAATGCATCCTATAATAACCCAGATGTACCCTGTTTTGCATGAAATACATGTGTAATGAGTCTACTTGCATTCTGTGTACAAATTTCAAATGTTTATCGAAGCCATGCATTTAGATCTGAAACTGGGTTTATCAGTATATCAATTATGAAATCATTTAACCTATCTTTAATTACCAGACTACAATATGATGGCTAATGTACTCTGAACAAAAAAACTTGGAATGGCAAGCAGAATTTCATAATCAGTAATTATTTCTATTAAAAGTGTATGAACTGTTTGGTTACATTTTTAGCTGCAACCAAGTATATTAAATTTAAGCATGTTTTATGTGTATGTAATTAGTAATGTAGGCTACAAAATTTATATTACTGTAATATCACATATTTTCGTGGGGCCAAATTTTCGGGTTTGAGGAAAAATTGTTGGTTCATTTTGATTTCGTGGATGAAGAACGTTTTAGTAGTTTTGCATATGAAAATTTACATTTCATGGTGGGCATGAATTCGTGGGTCTCTTCATACCTCGAAAACAACGAAGATTAAACCCCCCGCGAAAATTATTGATTTGACCATATATTCTGTATTCATATTATTTGTTTTCATAGTTACATGTACTAGCTATTGAAAAGCTAGTTTATTAAAAACACTCATTTTTGCCCACCCTTAGAGCAGAATGCAAGAGTAACACTGTTATGTCATTTTTTGTTTAAATTTTTATGTTTTTTGTTTTGGTTTCATTGCTAACGACTACCGTTTAAGGGGCTTTTGTTTGTTGAAGTTACAAACTAAGCATTCAATGCTTGAGCATGGCCATGTTTTTTTTATTTCACAACAATGAATTTAAGAAGTGCATAGAGCCTATTAAATATTTACTAATACTTTCCTGATACAAAGAAATTTGATTATGTTGAAGTATTAAAAATGTTTTTAGATAGATATTCACAAAGATTATTTCTTCTTTGATCATTTTTTATTTCATTTTCTATAGTTTTTGCATTCTCGGAGTATCATACGTTGAGACATCAAAACTTCAATATTAATTTTTAAAGTGTGTTATCAGATGCTAATTAATATGATTACAGAGGGGTGCATCTCGCACAAACCGAGTCCAAGAAAATCAGACCAGCAATAGTCAAGTGACTTCAAATGACTCAGCCCCTCCAGTTCCAGAGCGCAGTTACTCTATGGCTAAACCTGTTCAACCACAGGCTTCGGTTATGAGTAACCGCCCCCTTCCTAGGAGACCTGATGAGGCATATCAAAGGCTTCTTAAAAATCAGGTACAGTAAAAGTTACTATCCTTCCAAGTTTATATTCCCCATATTTTTTTTTTGTCTTCAGAAATGTGGAAATAAGATCTAAAAATATTATGAAATAGATTAAAACAAGTCATTCCCTCTAAAGATACTACTGTATGATAATTCATAGGAATAATTTTATCTTGGCTAAAGTTGTTGGTTGATATCTTGTCACTACAGGTGCTTGCATGTGAAGGATTTGGGACTATTGATCAGTAAATCCATTATAAGACGTTCAATTTGCCATTATTTCCTCATTTGTTGATTCTTATCTCTTGTCATTTACAGACCAAACAGCATGAGTATCACTGAAGAAATGGCAAAAAACTTTCGTGATCATACTTCATTTCTCATTAAGGACCTTGGACGATTTAAACAACAGATATGATAAACCTTACTGTACCATATCACAGATCCATGACATATTAAATTAGTTCTTTATTTAGTCTTATGTTTGGTACAGATATATAGAGAATAATACATACCCTTTTCCATATCACATCCTGTATCAGCCCGAGACACCAATATCAGCCAGAGGGAAAAAGGCCCGAAGGGCTGATATTACGAGGGCTTATACAGGATGTGATGTGGAAAAGGGTATGTTTTATTATATTTATTACATACTTAGTAATAAAATACAGTTGAGAAGAAAATAAGTAAATAATCATGCATGGACTTCTTACATACATGTACATAGTCTAATGTCTCATAAGATTTGGGTTTGTTTCTATTTCTATTTCAATGCACTTGATCCGTAATTTGAAAATATTCTATAGTATTACATGTATTTGTAAATTAAGATTAACCTTAATTTCAAAAAGTTAAAATTAAGAGAATATGAACCCACCAAAAATTGTGTATGAGTACAAGTACTGTTATTGTGGTTTAATTTACTAAGGGTGTGATATTGACGTCACAATAGCCGTATCAGCCCTGCAGGGCTGATATGGATTTGCAGGGCTGATACGGATATCAGCCCCGCAAATCCATATCAGCCCTGCAGGGTTGATACGGCTATTGTGACGTCAGCCATATCGCATATGCAAAAAACCTGTATTTATTACTAAGTGTGTAATAAATACATGTATATTTCACATATCAGATCTTTTTCTTTTGTTTGTTTTGTTTGAAATGAAACATATTATTTTGTCTTTGAAATGAATATCATAGTATCTGAAGAATAAAATTCTCCCCAGAATCAATACATATCAAAGCTTTAATTCCTTGTGAAAGGAATGTTTTATTGCGTAAAATATATTATGAATAAATGATAATAATACATGTGTGAATTTTCTGTTGACATTAAGTGTCCATTGTCATTCTTTTGTGCAATAGGTCTTAAATTAATGACAAATATGCATATATTAAGTAAACTTCAGGTTTGACCTTCATTTACAACCTAACATGTGTCCACCCTTCCACTGCTTACTTTTATTGGTTGAAGGTAGAAAATCACTGTTTCAGAAAATTTATAATTCAAAAATTAATTTTTTCAGGTTGCCACTTTAAACAAAGATGGCTATCCTTGGATATATTGAAGTCCTTTGGACCTTTTTATTGCCTTAGCTGTTATTACATCAATGTATTGAAATATATATATTAGTACAACAGAGTGGTTGGTTAATCGAGTACCTGTTAAAAGATCCGAGTATTGAACACTATAACTAATATTATTGAGTATACGTGGAATTTTTTTGACATTCTAACTTCCGAGTTCATCGCACAGTATTCTCAATAAGTAAACGTAACCTCGATTGAAGACCCTATCATAATTAGCCAGATAAAAGTCATTAGCATCCTTGTCAACGGCAGGGTTTTCTACACAGTTCAAAATAATGTAATAAAATAAAGCATAGACTCTTTAATTGTACAGGTATTCAGGATCAAAAATGCTTTGACAAGATGTGCATGATTTTAGTTTTCTTTGAACCTCTACGTCGTCTACATGCTGCTTTGGACTCCAGGGAAGATTTTTATGCGCCCGGATCGATAGATCCGAGGCGTTTATTGTTTTTGTTCTGTCTGTTTATCTGTTTGTCTGTCTGTCTGCTGAAAACTTTAACCTTCGCCATAACTTTAGAATCTTGAGATATAGAGACTTCATATTTGGTATGCATATTGCACTAATAAGGTTCTTTCAAAAGTCACCAAGGTCAATGACCTTGTGACCTTGACTGTGACCTACATACTAAAAATAGCTATTTCAAACTTTTGCCTTAACTTTCGAAGCATAGGAGATAGAGACTTCATATTTGGTATGCATACTTCACAAATAAAGTTCATACAAATGACACCAAAGTCATTGACGTTTTGACCTTGACTGTGACTTTAATGCTAAAAAAGCTATTTTCGAAATTTTGTCATAAATTTTGAACCATAGGAGATATAGACTAGAAAATAGAAATAGAAAATACAAAATAGAAAATTTGGGTATTCTTTTTCGTTTTAAAGGAGTTTAACTGTATTGTGATATTTTCAAAAATAGAGAATCAAACAATTTTATTACACAGCATTACTTTCAAGAATAAGATATGAATAAAGAACAAAATAATGAATTTATAAACTCTCAAATTAATGTTTTATTGTTGATGTGTTTGCATAATTTGGCAAAATATCCATATGCAAATATAACAGAAGTAAAACTTTCTCCCCTTAATTTGTACAATATTTTGAAGTGGATTTTTAATTCTACCAAAACTCTATGACAGTGGAACATTAAAATAACAATTTTTATCATCGTTTAGTCTTGAAAGTACAATATTGTGTTTCTCCACATCTGTCCAATTCCTTTTTTTTTTTTATAAATGACAAAACTGGAAAAATTATTGTACAATACAATGATTTTTTTTTACAAAATTATTTGTTTCTTTGCATCGGCGTTATTACATTGTCATATTAATTGCAAGCCATTGTATACGAGGGTTGTTCCAAAAAGTTGTAGACAGGGAACATATTTTATTTTCTCTTTGCTAAATCAAATTTCTTTTCTTGTCATAGCAAAGAGTAGCATTTTATGATCATGCATTTCAAGATTCATGACGATACCACATTTAATAAGAAAACTATGAAAAAATGAAGAAACCATGTAAGTGTACATCGGCGCATGAAAGCAAGCGTAATTTACGTCTCTCATAACGTCATGATATCTTTTTCTGCTTCACATGAGGCTATTAACATCCAAATTAATATTTTTTTAATAGTGAAAAACCACTCTTGACAAAGGGACTAATTTAAATTTACCACTGTCCCTCTTCTTATGCAGATTCAAATTTTAGTCAAAATTAAATTAGTTGAAAGATCACCGTACATTTGTTACATTAAAAGTTTAAATCTAAAGTTTAAACTTATCTAGATAGTATATAGATAAGTTTAAACTTTAGATTTAAACTTTTAATGTAACACATTTTAGGCAACAGGGAATGCACCTTGTTTGACGACGTTCATGGCCCGTTTCCAAATGTCTGCGTTAAGCAATCAGTGCTCTAATTTACATGCAATAACTATTTTTCCGATATAGAGGGAATTAAAACTATCTTTGAATCTCGTGCTATTAAAAAACAACATTTCTATCAAAATATAGTGTGTAATGTCCTTTCTGTACTCTTTCCCTCCGTCTCTGATGAATGTAAAACATACCAAAAATAATCTATTACATTTCCGTACCCGTTCGACGACGTCATTTTCATCAATCTTAATTCGGACAACACTTTGAAAATCATAACACTAGTCGTCTGTTTCTAATGCTATTTACATGAAATTTTGACATATTATTAAGATTTTGATTCTGGTTTCAGTGATTAAAATTCTAGTTCAATCTTTTGCATAGTACTAAAGAAATAAAAATAATGTAATAGTTATATGATGCGTAAATTATTCCGAATTTTGGTCGTGCGCCGACAGACCATATCGGCCTTCATATAAATCGTCCCAATATAATTAATATGAAAGATATATATTTAAGAATTCACAATTTTAAAGAACATTGGTTGTATTATGTGTATGCAAAATTTGGTTAGTTTTAGTTGCGTGTTAAAAAAGTTATTAACATTGTCTACGACTTTTTGGGACAACCCTCGTATTGTTGTTTAATACATTTAAGTATATTTGAAAGGAAATACATGTATCTTTATATTTTTTTACTTCCATGAATGAAAACTAATGAAACATAGTTATTAAATCATAAGAAGACGAATAATAGTCATGTATATAGTTATGAAATAAAATCTATAGAAGTAAGTTTTCAAAAAAACAAACAAACAAGAAACATTGGATGTCGTAAACTGTCTTTAAGATTGATGATTGTAAAAAAAAAATGCATAGTAGGTTAAAAAATGGTGAAGATAATAAAGTGTAAGAGAGATCAATCTCAAAACATCTTTTAACTATACAAATCTGTGAAGAGGGCATAAACGCCGACCCCTGGAAGTTTCAGTGGTGGGATCAGGAAGCATCCCCTGTAGACATGTTCCATCCACTGTGAGCCCTCCTACGTATTGGTAATGTAGATAGCATTCTGTAGTCAAATTCAGTATCCAAAAAAAAAATGCTTAACATTCAATACTAAACAAGTTTGCTTCAGCATGACTAAATGATATACGTCATATTTGCGTACAATGTCATTTAGACATCCATAGAATTTATGAAACTTTATAAGAGGTTTTTACTCAACGGTCAGTAACATGCATCGGTTTTATATAAAGTGATTGCACATGACATGATAACGGGATATTAAAATATTACGAAAAATAATAGCTGACGACCGAAATACTGGAATCATTTCGTTTGGCATACTTAGTCCTTTCTCGTTTTCTAGTAAAACATCCAAAATTAAATATGAAACTGATTTGGCACACTGTAATGTCTTTGATTTCAATTAAGTTCTCTATGATATATCGATAATTAAATTGAAGTAACTATTGTTAATCGATAATACATTGTCGAAATTATATCTAAAAATATTTGATAAGTTAATTAGAAGTTTTTCCTTGCTCCTTTTTTTGTATGGTTAGCATAAACTATATGCTAGATAGTGTTCAATACGTGAAAGAGTCAATGTACTGTCATATAAAATACCTACAAAAATAGCATATCTACAAGATTTTGATGTTTAAACAAAGTATGTGAATGGATGTCTTGGGATGCTATCTACCATTCTTTAAGAGCGAAACACTGGAATTCCTTTAACTTTCCAAGAAATATGACTTTACAAAAACTATATTTTCAAATCTAGTAAAGAAGAAGCATGTTTATCATTTAAATAAACAGCAAGTGTGACTCAAATGCATGAAGACGCTTTTTGTATATTTCATTGTGCCAGTCAAGGTTTTTGTTGCTTCAATTGTAGCTAAAGATTGAACAAGTTAATGTTTTTGGAACAGTAAAAATTTTTGATGCATGTCCAAATAACTTTAAAACTTACATTGATAAATCTTTCAAATGAAACATCTAAGGATGTACATTACCAGGCTTGCTTAAGATGCTTGATCTGATCGTCATTTTCCGGATAAGTGACCAAGTCAAAGTTTTAGGATCACGTTTATTGTAAGCTTGACCATGCATTTGCAAGGATGATGCACACTAACAGGATTGCTTCATGCAGATACTCGATCTGGCTTTTTCTGAATGAGTGGCCAGGTTAAAGTTTTTGGAGCACTTTCATTTTAATTGCATGAAAGTTTGCCCTTTCTGGACCAATTTGTAAGAATTATAAATCTAAGGATGCAATGATATACTTATACAGAGTTGCTTCAGTAACTGAATTTGAAATACATTTTCCAGCAAAATGATCCAAGTTTTTGTAGCAGGTTCCTTCACAAGCAAACAAACCTAGACCAAACTTACATGGATGATGCATCTAGGGTTGAACTCTTTAGATGCTAGATTTTCCTCCCTTTTCCTGATGAATGATCAGAATAAAATTTTTGTTGCGATTCCATTCCAAAGTAACTTTATGACCTTCTTAACCAAACTTGCCTGGACGTTGCATCTAGGAATCTGCACTACTATAGATTATTAAGTTTAGTGTGGGACTTTCCATTACCTAAAGACAACTATTTAAACAAGTCATTACCTGTCGACTTAATTTCACAGTATATCAAAGTAACACAGTTTTTTTTAATAACGTTAAGGTTTGAAAACTAAATCTTTTGCATTGGTTTAGGAATTAAATGGTAGAAAATATATTTCTTTTAAAATCATTAATTCACATAACGTAAATCATAAGTAATAAGGCAATGTTTTGAAACATTTATGGGGACTTACTTGATAATTTCACAAACCTGTATTACATGTACTCCTCGATAAAGGTTTATAAATTGTACCTTAATTTTTATTAGAGTTTCAATTGAAAGAGGAAATGTGTTTTTTAAACAAATGTAATATTTTTTAAACCATTATTTTTTTTCTGTTGTATTGATGGGTTTGTTGGGGGGATAAGGGTGAGAGGGCACTTGTTTTTAAAAGTAGTTTTTGTTTCGTTTATTTTTATCCTTTGTGTATATTTTAAAAGCTTGTTTTCTACAAATCTTTATTTTGTTAACGAAATGATTTTTTTCAATCCTCCACATCACCAGAACATGGAATTCCATTCCAAACATACAAAGATATAAACATGTAGTTGATTTTATATCAAACTTATTGAAATGTCTTTACATTTTAAGGTCAGCATTTTAAAATTCAATCTTAAAAGTGAAACGACTAAATATAACTTGTTTTATATCTTTATTCTGATAACACAGTGAATATCAGTATTTTTTCTCTACCCTTGATATTATATCAGGACGAGATAATATCTAACTGACACAAATAAAGACGTAACAAATATTAAATAAAAACAAGATGCATGTATAATATCACAGTCGCTGATATCTGCAAAATAACACTCTATGAAATAAAAATACTCTATTCTTATTACATAATGTATAGGCCAAATTCGATATCTTCTTTACTGAAAAGAAAGAGACCCCACTGCACATTTAATGAGCCTGTAAACTACAGATTAAAAATAACTTCCACACGTGCAACCAAACAAAAAAGAAAAACGCTTGGAATGTGCTTATCAGAGGATTAGAATGAATTCAGGATAATTTGCTGTGCAAAAGAATTAATGTTGGAAAAAAGAAACCTGAAATGTCTCTATGATATATAAAAGACATTAAACTTAAAGGATGTTTACGTAGTATATGTATACTAACTTTCAAACAGAGAATTTCTTAAATATTTACCCATTTACAGAAGACTGAAGTTTTCCGTCAGTACATGTAACACACCAATAGTGGGACACGTTATTATAATACTGATAATAAAACGTCAACCAATCTAAAGCTATGAATTTGAGAGTTCCTCCAAATCTCCCTGTTTGCAAATAAGATGAAAATAACAAAATTCGTTGTTGACTACATTCTACAAAATGACAATTTGGCACACATGATGTGCAATGCAATTGCACGACAAATCACAGAACATTTCGAATATAAAAATTGATATCAATTTTAAACAGAGAAATATATGAACAGTTATTCCAACGTTTAATTGATATGGAATAAAATTTATCTTACAATAGTGTTTGAATCAATTACTTTTGGAAATATACATCAATTGGACAGATGTTTATGGAAAAAACACATTTATTATAATGTGCCAGTTTTTAAGAAGCTTCAAAATGAAAATAAAAACATTAGATTAATAAAAAATCAGTTTGAAAACACAAATTATACTTCGCAGTGAGTTACAGTAGGAAAGTTGTTTCATTGCTTTCAAATAATTCCCAGTTTCATCAAAGTCAAGATCACAATAATATTGATTGATATGTAGAGAGGCCATGAATCATGGATTTCGATCCGTAGAGGCAGGCAGTTACATTAGATTTCACTTTCAAGGAATATTCAGAAACCTAGAGTTATTAGCAATGGTTGATTTGCACCTTACATGTTTCAATTAACAATGATACAGTGATTTATTAGGGTTGAAGATGTGCAATGATGGATAAAAAACAGGAATTACTAGGAAATTACAAGAATTAAAAATAATGGTAGACACGGTCCTTCTAATCTGTAAAAGTAGTTATATCTTATTAAAGATCATTAAATTGCATCTAGAGGACATCAAATTCCACTTTATATTTTCTCGGGTTAGATCTTTACCCCAGTTACACATAATCCACTTTAACAATGAAGTTTTTCGCTTGAAATGAAGAGAATCAAACATCCATTCTACTTTTTTTAAAACTGCTTATATTTATTCACTGAGGATTTCCTTAACAATTATTCGATGCAGTCGTAAACGTCTAGAATCGATAAGGACATCAAAGGACTTATAACTTTTAAATACAAATGAAGACCTATTCTCCAACGTTGAAAATAGAATTTATCGTATATAGTAATTAAGCTGCCTTACAGGATCGTAAACTACTGCAGAAGAATAATTAAGTTTTTTTTTAAATCAAAAAAAAAAAAAAATTGATTAGGAAAAGAAATCCACAAAGACATATGCATCCTCTATTACCTGCATTAACATATCAAAATATAGTTTTATTACTGTTTAGTTGCATAATTCTTTAACTTGCATTCATATTGATAAATAATTATACATGTGTGATATGGCATGCTGAATGTAGTAATTGATCCCCTTACGAACTCCTGAAGTGAACAGAATATATTTTATGATAACCCAAGATTATATTATGAACGATTCATGAAAAATAAAACTTTAAAAACACGAACTACCAGGCTTTTCATCTAGATTTTCTATCTGATAGACGCATTCTTTAGCCCTATCTGTATGATGCACCACAGTTTCAATTTTCGGTAAATTTTCACTGCTTGATTGCACATTTGGAGCAGGTTCCTCCGACATGTTTTGGGAATGCATACTGGTGGATTCCTTAGGGGAAATAGATTGTTCAGATCTTGATTTCTTCCCCTTTAGTTTATGCCGTGTTTCAGCTTGCAAAGGTACTGTTAAAAACTGAATCACTCCACCCTTGCCTTCTGACAGAGGCGAATCGCTACCTCCCGTTGACTGTGTCCTTTGCTTCTTTTCTCTCTTTACTTCTTTTGGTTTAAAGAACCTTGTTCCTAAAAAACTGGCGCGGCGTGGAAGATTGCCTGGTTCGATTTGACTCTGATCAGAATCACGGCGATCTATAGAATTAAGGTTCGCACCCACACTCTCTGAACGTTTCCTATCCGTGAAGCCTGCAAATCCTACCCGTAATCCGAACAAATTAGAGCCGGATGGTAATTTCCGTAATTTATCCATTTTACCATTTGGCATTTCAAGAGAATCTTTATGTATACTTTCTCTAGATTTCGATTTTCGTTCTTCGGTAATTTTGTGTAGTTTTCCAGTAAAGTCAAACTTAAATTTCTTTTTTCTACGTGAACTTTTTGAACTTTCTGAACTATCATCTGAATCTTTATCCTCGTCTTCACTCGCACTTGTGACGACTGGGGTCGATTCCATTACTATTTCATTAACCAACTTTTGATCTTCCTCAAGGTCAGCTCTACTACTAACAATGCTTGGATTTTTGCCGATTTTGGTTAACCTTTCAGCGGCAACACTTTCCATAGTTCTGCGCATGAGGGGATATCTTTCCAATACTGTATTAAAATGTTCAACCGATAAAGAATAAAGATTCACGTAGGTTTCTGCACGTACACTAGCAACCCTTTTGGCATTTGTTAGTAAGCATATTTCTGTAAATACAATATAATGTGTTTATTGAATAATTTTGCAAGAAATCAAAAAGGAGAAACTGTGGTTTCATCAATATTCGTTGAGCACCAATTTTTGAGGATTTCGTTGTTGAGCAGATCCACGAATTTAAATGTTCATTGAATTAAGAAATATGTTATTCACTTCTATAGGCAATGCTTTTGTCCACGAAATTACGTATCCTCGAAAACGTTTGTTTTACACAATACACAAAATTGATGCCAACGAAAATTGATGAAACCACATTAACCGAGGAATTACAATATTTTGGAACAAATGCAAACGTGCGTAATTTTAACTGCGATAAAAAAGAAAAAAAAACTTTTTTAATGGAGACTGGTAAGAGGGCAACTTACCACCAAAGTATGAACCATCAGACAGCGAAGTGGCGATCTCGCCGTCCTTAGTGATAATGTCGACGATTCCCTCTTGAATGAAGTACATCTTTGTTCCCATAGTTCCTTCTTTTATGATATAATCCCCAGGTTGAAAGACTTCAAATTCCAATTTACTGATTACCTCAGAAACAAACTGGGGATCAGCATTTGTGAAAAATGGCACGGATTTCACCAAGGCTCGACAATTATGGTTGATAACTTCCTACGAATATAAAGTCATTTGTTCAGTTTCTTTGGCAAGTAAATTTCTATCCACGGTAGAATTAAAATGGAAATACAATTGTAAGATGCTCTGTATTTACAAGTATTATACTTATATAACTAAGGTGCTATATACCTAATTCATCCATTCCACTCATGAAGTTATTGCTACTACTGTTTGAATTGCACGTTGTAAAACAGATGAAACCTCTAGGGTTTAACAACAATTTTAACATGAGGTTACTTTAATTTTTCGATTAAGTCTACATCAATCTACAAAATTGCTTTGTACGTTAAAGTATGCTACTTAAGAGAATAATAAATATAATTTTTGTATATATCTTCCTAAATTCCATTCATTATTCCTATTTACTAAAATTCGCCCATAACCAGAAACAAACTTAAATTCACACAACATGGGAAAGTTTGCAAGTAGATAAATCTATACTGTGTTTCTGAGATTTCCTTTAATTCTTTTATAGTTCAATGCAATATTTTCGTCCTTTATTGTAACCCGACTCTTTCCCAAGGGATTAAACTTCGTTTAGGAAGGTTCCAAATAAATTTCTTTCTTTAGTCGAGATAGTCTAATTCCTTATCATTGAGGTCTCACCTTTACTCCGGGGATCCTAATTTGAACATTCTAAAATCTTTACTTTCATATACGTTTCCTTTTCAAAATTTTTTCTTACGAACTCGTAGTTAAATGCAAAGATTTCATCTTCTATTGTAACTATAATTTAAACTCAAGATTCATGATTTGGACAATTTACAATCTACGCTTTCTCAGAAAGGTTTCATCTTAGGTTCATTTTGGCCCCGTGGTTCTAAATAAGCCGATTTTTATTGATTTCTTTGTTTTTGCCTTTTTCTTGATTATCTCTCCTTGGAAGTGGGTTTGCATGGTCCTTGATTTTCAACAATTTAGAATCCTTAATACGCATGGATGCTTCGTACCAGCGTTGGTAAAAATTGTTCCTATGCTTCTTAAGAAGAAGTCAGGAATTGGGAAACGTTCAATAGATAAGTGGATGGACGGTGATCAGAAACAATACAAGTACTTGAGCTTTCAGATGAGATAAGCTCATCAAATACACGTAATATATATTACACATAGTGCATTTTTCTTAAGTTTGCTTATGTAAACATAACAGTTTAAGAAATAAGTACCTTAGTGAAAAACGTTATAGTATTTCACTTAACGATTTTTGAATTGATTCAGAAACGTATATATATTGTACTATGTTGGAATCTTGAAAAATACACACCTGACGAAGACACTCATTTAATTCAACCAAAATATTGTCTTCATCAAACATTTTGCCCTGGTAACGATGTTCATAATACTCGGATATCCTTTGTCGTAGTTTTCTGGGTAACTTTCTGTATATCATGTATTCCTCAACTTGTTTGAACTGAAAATACATGAGATCTTGGCGTACATATATCTTACATAAAATAATGTTTACAACTGCTCGAATGTTCAGTATTTCTAACTTCGCAAAAAAAAAATAACAGTTGCTCTAGATCTTTTTTTATATGAAAGACAATTTTAAAATATCTTGTATACAGGGCGCTCAATAATGAATAGTCCCTTCATTATTATCTACATAATAGTATGTTTACGACTGTAAGCAAAGGTAAACATCTCGTTTAATGAGATAGACAACGAAATAAAGTAAATTTAACTAGTTAACTTAAAAAGCTTACGTCATTAGATGATAAGAATGACTCTATGAAAGGTCATTTAAACATTAAGAAAGACCTTTGAAGATTTTCATATAGACTCCTTGTGTTTCTCTACAATAAGTTATATCCAAAAATTTCAAATGAAAGTTTGCAGTTCTATGGATATGTTACAATCATTTCAGTTATCTTGAAGTTACATGCTTCAAAAAAAAGTTTCCATAATTTTTCTAAAAACCTTGCAGTGTTCCAATTCAAAAACAGAAGATTGCTACATTTTTCTCATTTTTAATTACAATTTTTGAAGTTTTACACTTCGTGCTTTTGTGATATTCTAATGCTTTTAAATTCTTTTAAAAACTATAAAACTTTTCAAAATCAATTTTTAACATCAATGTCATGTATTTTTCTTTTCAAAAGCTTTATTTTAATGCTCAATGCATTTTGTCCATGTATATTTTTTTTTGTATACTGTAGTACCTTTTCGTTATAAAGCCGTCGTGATGTGTCAAATGACTGAATTATCGTTGTTGTATGCCCAAGGAAAAGTGCATAACAAGTAGCACCACTAAGCATGCTCAAAATAGTCAACCACGTGTCCGTCATATTTTGTGGCGGGAAACGTCCATAGCCGATACAGAGCATGTGGGACAAAGCTTTAAATAACGCCCATGTGTACTGTGTAAACCATGAAGCATGCTGAAATAAATTAAAATACAGACTTAACAAAACGGAACAGTATGTATATTTTTTTCATTAGTCGGAATGAATACTAAAGGAATCGTTCTGGTTATTCTTTCCAAATAAAATGGACTTTTGAATGAATTTAGAACTAAAGAAAAAATTGTCTGATGATTAGGAAATTCAGATTTAATGTTCATGAGTAATACTTGATTTTGAGGTTAAAAAAAACATGAATAATATCTGATAATGTCTTTCTCTTAAAAATACATATATGTTCTTATTACTTTGAAACTGAGATAGGTTTCGAGAAATGCTGTACGCAGCGAGGTGTTAAAAATATTCTGACATACTCCCCCCCTTCGCACACAATTATTTGAATCTCTCTTGTATATCTGGCAGCCTGTGGTTTTACCCATTAATCTTTTATTTGTAAACTCCACCACAACGTTGCTATTTTGATGCTTCATTAAATATGAATACCATTAGAGATTTTAGACTTTCATTGTTACAATTCTTGTTGCTTTTTGGCTTCGATGCATCGACTTTCCTTTTTTAAGAGTGTTGAACAAAGCTCCAAAGTCAGTTATACAAACGGCAAACTTTTAGTGTATTTTATTTCTGGTTTCTAAGATATGAGTTTACCTTTAGTTCTTCAATGGAAACCCAGCAGTCTTTTGGGAAGTCTTCTAACATTGGCACTAAGAACTGCAGACACCCATTCCAATGACCGAGTAGTAGCATGAGACATATCAGATTAAAGATCCGCATAAATTTCCCAGCTACAGCAAGAAACTGAAAAAGTACAAATAGACAAGTTTCTAGTAGATCGTGATTTGCGTGTATTTATTTCTAAAAATGTTAACATTTTAGACAAATGTATATATTACATAATCATTCATCTTGTAGTTCAGCTTAATAAAAGACTGGGGAGGGAAGTGGAAAATGACAGCAGGGGTCAAAAGGTAATTGAGTTTTTTGGAGAATTCTGCATTATATGAAGCAAATTTGCTGAAAAAGAGACTCTCAACAGAGTAAAAAAAATAGAAAGCAGTGATAAAGGATGCAGTGAACCGAGAACTGCAAAAGCAGGTGCTGAAAATGCATGTAACATAACACTGGAATGACATTGTCATCTCTTAATCATGTTTATCATTCTTCCAATTATTTTAAGGAATATTTTTTTAAGAAATGAAAAATAAGAAATTTAAAAAATTTTATGCATGATTGTATTACCGTATATACAACAAAGACAGGTATAGAAACAACAAACTGAAGCGAAACACAGAGCATGCCACATACAATAGCCAGCACATGCCAATGGTGAACTGGTTTTCACAGTTCAGATCAGAGTATACTTCTAGTTGTCATCATTCAGAAGACAATCATTCAACATACTATGAAAGAGATCACTTTTTACAAAGTCATTTTGAATCCAACGTGCATTTCTAAAGAAATTATTTCTTGGTGCACTATAAAGTCCAACTCCGACAAAAAAGGCCTAGATGATTTCATCCAATCAGAGACTGCCTTCAACTCACCCCAGGTCGTTTTCGGCGTCCAAACATACTCAAACAAGGACAGGCTTCAAACTAATCGGAAATAAATCATGAGTACAAACAGGTTATGCTTAAATCCAAATAAGGATGTTAAATGCAAGAAATTAAACGCTTTGCGCTGTAGACTTAGTAGAAATAAAGACATGGGGAGAAACCGTACTCAAAATAAAAGAAAACAGAAAGGCTAAATATAATCGTCAGTTCTTGTGTAGTAGGGTTATGACACACGTGTTGGTACGCATGATGTTTAATGGAATATTACAATGTTTGTGTTTATTAATCTATAGGATTTCCTATAATAGTGACTACTATGCGATTGCTTTAGTTTGGTCACATGTATTGCTCCACAACTTTTATGTCGCTAAGGATATATATATTGATACTTGAAAGCACAAAACTCACCTTCTTAGTTTTTAACAGCTGGAAAGCCAAATAAAAAGACATATTTGTAAGATTTGGGATTCTACACAGTTATACAATGAAGAACGACAAACTTTGTTTTTTTAACACGGCGCAATTGCAAAATATCAACAGTTGTGATACACTATTTAGTAATGGACTTTTGAAAGGAGCGCTGACTTTTACACTTGACGGCTTAATTTTACACATTAAGACAATGTACAGAAATTTTTTATATAAATTTGTAGCTCAACATTTAATTAAACGAAAATATCGGGTTATTTCAAAAGCACAAATAAGTTGCCCTTGAAGAAAATGACATCCACACTACCCTCAACTCCCGGCATTAACATGTTCCCAAAACACCATACCTATTACCACTAGACATTTTTCTGATCTATTATCTATTCTGTACCTACGTAGATGATATAGGTTTAAATGTCAAAGTAAACCGTCATCTGTAAAAGTCAGAGCTTCTCGCAGAAGTTCAGTACTTACTGTATAACTAAGTGTTGCCTATTTTATGAATACAATTCCTCAATTTTTTATTAAGAGAAAACACATCGATTACGTACGAAGTATAACACATTATACAACGTTTATAATTACAAAAGGTAGGGTGCACATTTGGAAAATTTGGGAATAAAAACTCTTTAAAATGACATGATTGGTTGTATTTAGGTACGTGGTATCGCTTTTATACCATTACCATGCATCCACAACAATGCACACGAACTGAGCCCAATTTTTAAGTTTAATACACTCATGCAAAATAGGAATATTTGCGAAAACCAGTTAGTATTTACAAAACTGTATTCAACACTTCCCTCCCACTTTACATCAAAGTAATCAGTAGATAATTTATTGGAAAAATATAATTTATGAACTGTTGTAATGCTAATGAAGACAAAAATTGAGACAATGCAGACGACAGAATGACGTTTTACTTTAGATTCTTACCTCTTCCCACTGTTGTACGTATCGCACCAAACGGGACAACCGCAGCAATCGTAAGAGACTCAGCAGCTTTGCCAACCGTAAAATCCTCAACGCCCTTCCTACAATTAAAACATCATGGTTACTTATCAGATACTATAATTGTTTTTCTTATTGCCCTAACAACACTTTTGATTGTTTTATCAACATATTTGTATTTTTTTTTTATTTCTTTATTTAACACCATTATGTAATATCAAGTCCATGTCAGTATATGCTAATGTATATTTTAAATCTAAGATAGAAAATTAAAACAAAAATATGCAGATCATGCTTCAGAACGTTTGATACAACAATGTTTTAATGCAGTATTTGATGATGTATTTCGAAATGACAAGAAATTGCAGATGATAATATTTCATAGATTTGCATGATTTTGTAAATGTTTTTGAGATCCATTACTGTTTGTTTATTTCAACCTCTTTTTCATGTAAAGCCCCAAGCGTTGGAATAGAAAAATTTCTCCTAAATAAAAAGTACGCTCCTAATCATTTGAATTCCAAAGTGAGAGGATGCATGTTTAACATTTATCTTTATATTCCTGAGAAATGGTATGTATAAATAACTTAAGAAGATGGGGGAACAAGGCGGGCAGAATGCCTATAGCGTCATATATTAAAAGATCGTATGCAATATGTGAATTGAGTAAATAAATTAACTTCTAATTATTGAAGTTTTAGAAATTATGAGAAAAAAACTTTCTGAGAGAAAAAAAAAATATTGTAAAAAAATTTCTTTCTTAAAATTAGGCCTATTTGATGATATTCGTGGGACTCGAACCCTAGGAATAAAAATCCGTCGTATCAATAGCATACTGCTTTGAGACTAACGCGTTAACCACTATGCTACATCACTCCTGCTGATTTCGGGCATTTAAATCATGTTTGTGATATGACCTTCGACTTAATGGACTTCAAGTATTTCTTTGAAAGATGCAAATGTTGTGTCATAAAAGTGTACTTTTAAGGTATTGTGGGTCTTCGCTCCATGTTTTTGTAAACCAAAAAATGTGTATTTTACTGCAAACTTTTAGGATCATCTTTCAGAAAAATGGAGCGAAGACCCACTCATATTGAAAAACCTTGTTAAAGTATGAGAAAATGATCGTTTTTGTTCTTTTTAGTGTGTGTAATCTTTTTCATAGGCAAATAATTTCAGTCTTTGTGAGATTTTTGTAAATTGTAGAGATTTTACATAAAGTAAACTTTAATATTAGATGAAATATCAAATAAAATTTAGTTTAAATTGAGATTAAATTTTTCACTTCTTATCTGTCGCACTATAGGCACTTCGCCCGCCTTATCCCCCCATCTTCTTTACTAAAATGAAAAAATAGGAAGATGCTTTTTAGAAGGGATTTCTTGGGAATTTTTTTTTCTGCGAAAGCACTTCAAACAAAAACTTTATACAAATTTACTTGTGTGTGTGTGTGTGTCCATCTATATAAAATATGTAAAAACCCTATCAAACTAACAGTAAATGCCAAGATTTAAAACACACAAACTTGTAGATGTGTAAAAATAAACACTGGTAATTATATGTACATCAATTGCAATCACATATTGATAAATCAGGATGTATTTAATTGATTACATTAGAATAGTTAAATGTATAGCACCTCGTGTCAAGTACAAAATTCCCTCGTATTGATTTCCCTTGAAAATCTTAGAGGGTCATATATTTTATGCTTTTTATGGAACAGATGTAGATAACGAACAGTATTCAAGATCAAAACTCCATAAAACAATACAAAATAGGAGCAGAGCAAACACAGACCTCCAAAACATCAGAGGTGGGATCAGGTGCCATGGAGGAGTGAGCATCCCCTGCCAAACGGTCACTCCCGCCGTGCGCTTTTTGTCATGATCGGGAAATTACGGGAAAATCCGTCGTCGATTCAGTGTATAAATTATGGACTAACGATAAATATGTAAAACATTAGTCAGCATTTGACTCAATAATAAATTGTATTTGCTGACAAGGTAATAGAATTTACGAAATTATTACTTTAAACGAGACTGCTGATATCCGTGTTTCATCAACTTGTTTATCAATAATTTACCTCGTTTTTAGAAATTGTTCATACGTAGAGCATGCTCTGGCGTATCGAATCAACTGAGATCTATAAATTCCGTATGCAGGTGATGAAGGTATACTGCATAAGTAAGAGAAGTTGACGATTAAAAAGTTAAAGTCACCTCGTTTATCATAGAGCTTGGTTGTTAGATTACCATTAACGTTTTTATCAAGTAAAATATCCAAATATCAATATCAAATCAACATATAATATCATACCCGGTATTGATAAAATAAATGATTCTAGAAAGTCCTAAATATTCACAAGTTCAAAAAATTATACCAATTCACAAAATACAACCTTTCACTAGAGAATGAAGATATAATTTATAAAAAAAAAAAATAATAATATTGACAGTAGAAATTGTGGTCACAACATCGATAAAAAAAATATATACTCCAGCATGCAGAGAAAGTGAAGTGAAGTGAAACATTCAACAATTTCATCCTTTTATCTTTCATTTTATGTAGCACATTACATATACACGAACACACAATAGTTATATATATTAAACACCGACAAAGGCCCTGAAGGAAACCTCGGTGCTTAGAACAAAATCACTTACAAAGCTCTTCCTTCCATTCGTTTTAATTACTATAACCTCCTAGGATATCCAAGGCGACCATTCTCAATAATTTCTCAGCTTATATAAAAAATTTCTATTAAATGTTGCAATGGTATACAAAAGGTCTTAAGCATACAGAATGTCAACAAATTAATCGAATTTTTTTAAAAAGTTTTATAAATTAAAAAAAAAGAGGGAGATGAAAGTAGATTTTATCTTTTGGGATGAAAACATTTGCTTTATAACAAAGAGGTTCATATTCAAAAGAGTTTGAAATTACAAAAGTTGATCATTTTAAAATAAGTATCCTCTATCGTCAATAAACCTCAGCGTTAGTGCACACAAAGCAATAAACATTCTGAAGTTTTATAGCAGCAATTTCAACAAAGACAAGCCTTCATCGGATTAGAGGTAAATGCTTAAGAGTAGCAATCAAAATTCCTGTTTAGGTATGCATGTATATGATATATTTTTACAAAAGGCATTTATTATTTTGTTTGCACGGTTTTCTTAGGAACAGAGAACCCTTTTTATCTTTCTTTATGCAACACACATGACAGTTCCCAAAACAATTTTCGAAGGATGTACCAAGCTATCTGAGGAAGACTTGTAAAATTACAAACCCCGAGGAAAGCTGATACAATTACGTGAAAAGGTTAAATAAAGGCAGGACAAACAAAAAAAAGTAACGTGATATAAGAGAGAGAATTATGGGAATGATCACCTTGCCAATAAGAGCCGGCATCCACTCGCGAGCTCGTACCTGCATGGATCATTTGGTAAAAGTCGGCCTCGGCATCCCACCAGAGAAAAATATAATCCATTGGAATACTACTGATGAGATCAAGGAAAAACCAAGACTTAACATAATGCTTGGCTATCAACTTAGGATCTAAAATGATTTCGTCTGCGAAGTCATTCAATATTATACCTGTAATTTAATAAAAAGTTGAACAATTACACAATATACATGTACATGTATATTAAATCAAAATAAAACTCTTAAGATTTCAGATTCAATTGGCCAGTTGAGTTTTATTCCTGATCTAACTACCTTTAGATAATTGTTAATTTGTATGTTAATTTAGTCAAATATTGGCCTTTATTTAACCATATGTGACATTGAAGTATTTCTCTTAAAATTTGCTTCTTTGAAAATCTTAATCATGGATTTTAATTTGTTATCATACACAAGTTAAATTTAGAGATAACGCTCAATTCATATAATTATTTTTGTCCTGGCCTACTGTTCATGGGGAAGAAAATGTATTTCAACTAAACAAATAAACAAAAAAAAATTAAATAAGAAAAGAGTTTCTTATTTGACAAAAAATAGTCTTCACCATTATTTCGAAGGAAAATTCTGAGATTGCTTACACGTATATTCAAGATGGCAGAGGATCAAAACCCAGCGAGGAGCAAATTCCGGGAAATTACTTTCGAAAATATACGAAGTGCGAGATCTAAATAAAGGACAATGTACACTATATATATAATATATATATATATATATATATATATATATATATATATATATATATATATATATATATATATATATATATATATATATATTCAGGCTGGTAAATACGTAGAGGTATTTTATCATGAAGCTACCATGCTTTCTTGAGCAACACAGCTCGATAGAGTTCAATTTTTGTAAGATAAAACTGTCAAAAGATTTCAATTTCGTGGAATTTCAAGATACAGCTATAGGAAGAAAGAAATCTTCATATGCCTCTTTTACATGAACATATGATATTTAGATCTAAATATACCAATGGGAGTAAGTGTTATTTACTGAAAAATTGCTACCATAGAAAGGGAGCGCCAGCATCGATTTTTTTCAGCATCATAAAAAGTTTTAACTAGTACATGAGTGTATGGATTGTAAGCTGAGCTTTTTATTAGCTGTCTCTTAAGGACCTGTCAAAATGAAACATACATTAATAGACCGTCTCCTTACAAAAATAAATTGATAAATTTTGGTTGAAAAAGATTGGTGATGATGTGAAGTAAGAGATAATTGAACCTTTACTACGACTTTTATTCGGGTATTGTAGATAAAATTACACTGATTGACCAGGTCAATAAAAAATCTACAAAATTGAAGAAATAAAAAATATAAAATAAAAGCCGCCCGCCCGCCTCGATTTTAAAAAAAACTCGGATGAGAATCTAGCAATTTATTTATTATGGCCTAATTCTTCGGCTTTACACTCGTTTTGAAGGCTAATGCCACACATTCAAATATTTCTGTAGTGTTTTGAACTGTAGTGTAAGAAAGAAAGACAAACTCAAAAAGTTATTTTTTAGTTCCTTTGCATAAATTTTACACAGTCTAAAAGTTGGTTACTTTCAAAGGAGAAAAAAATTCACGGGGTTCATTTTCTCTCAAAAATTCTACTGTATGGGCTGAAATATGCAGACATTCTTTAAAAAATACTGTATTTGTACTTCATATGTTCCTTCCTCTCCTGTTTTAAATAATAATAAAATAAATGTCACATATTTTAAAAAAGAAAAATATATTGATTTTTGGCAGAAAGCGTATTTTCGAACAAATCATACATCTTCATTGATTTATGTTACATTAACAGTGTTTTTTTTTTTAACGAAAAATGTTGTTAATAAATTGCAATGAAAAATGAAATCAGGAAGCATATACGAATTGTTTATGTTAGACTTGTTATTATCATTATGTCGAACGAGACTTTCTTAAGGGTTCATATTTTTTTAAAGTTCGTTTTGTAACAAACAAGAAGGTTAATTAAACTGTGTTACAGAATTAATTTGAAGATCTTCATTATAATGATTTTGTTTATACACCCACCATCTGTTGTAATTGTAAACAGCTCAGTCTTCTTTTAGAACAAGACTTAATAATGACATGATAAATCACTTCGTGAAACCAATATTTGATAAGAGAATCGATTTTTTTAAAGAAACATACTTAAATACAATGGGTCTGAAATCAATTTTGCAGAAGGTCTTATAGGAATAAATTACGTACCTGTTCGGAAATTTATTATAATATCCAAAAAGAAAACCGTGTCTGATATACAATTGAATGCGATCCATTCAGCGGTGAGATCATTGTTGAAGAATGATATGGCTACTGGTAAGATTATAAGGTTTGCAAGTAGAAGCACCAGCATGAATAGATCCCAATAAAACCTGTTGAATATAAATAATCGTATTCAGAAAACAGTAAAAATTAGTAATTGCAATGTGCTTGGAATCATAGTTCAGAATGCATTTTTTAAAAGGATATGAATGTGTACATAAGTAAAAGGTCAAGATAATGAACAATGATCAACTTTGAAAAAAATATAACTAATAGAAATTTGTGAAGAGAGCATAAAACATAAACCCCTGGAAGTTCCAAAGGTGGATTAAGGTGCTAAGAAAGAGCAAGGATACCCTTTTTGTCCGGTGATATGTACCAGCCGTGAACCTTTTGAATTGATATGATACATCGCGTAGTCAAATCTAACCTAACATTTAGTATGAAACAATTCAGCCAGAACCCCATGATAGGTTATGTTTATATATCAAGGCCATTATAACGACCATAGAATTAACGGAATGCTGACAATGAACGAGGTAGTTGATATCCCTGTAATATCAACTTATCAGTGAGTAGCATACCTCGCTTCAAAACTCGAACTTACTCAGAGCACGCTCTTGAGTAGCAAATAAGTTGGGAGGCATAAGCACCATAAGCTGGGGATGGTGGAATATTACTTTAAATAAGGAAAGTTGACAATAAAAATAGTGAAAAATGTTGAAGAAAACAGTGATCGATCTCATAAGAACATCAAACAACACAAATTAAGAAAGAGCTGTATTTATTTTGAATATTGGTAAGCCCCGTCTTTCCATTACAATACAAAAATTGTTTCCCTTTCTAGGTAACCTTATTCAAATGGTCAAGTAAGCTGATCAAAGTTTGTCTGTTTTTTAGTTAACCTTAAACATATCTCAACCAACTTCAACTAAATAAGACAATGCATATAAAGAAAGTTTCTCTAAATTAAAAATAAAAGGTCACATATCATTCCAAAAGGATTTTAATCAAGAAAGAGCGAGATCATTTCAAATCCATCATAAGAATCATTAGAGCAGAGCAAATGAAACTTATGCGTAAGATTCTTTATTACTCATATTCAATTAGACTCAGTAGGGTCTAGTCTACGGAATAAGATTTAACATCAGAATACAAGAAAAACATGGATACATAAGACCTGGGATATTCCTATTCCTGTCTATAAAAATCAAATTCTATGTGCACCAAAATTAACATAGTAAATTCATATAAAGGCAAGAAAATATAACAAGCAAAACTTTTTCGCATGAAATATTTTATATGGTAAATACAAATATGTGGTTTTCTCCGAGTTTGGACCCAAGCAACAGGATTCAGGGTGTCTTTTCTTCCCTAGAGACTAAAACATCAAATACTAAGCCATGCAATATATCAAAGGTAGTGGCATGAAATAAAAGTAGATAACGAGCAATATATGTAAGCATATATCCTCATCATCTGCATATGGGGTTTATATCTATTAATTGATTCGAAATGCAAGAGCTTGCTCTAAGTACAACACGTTTTAAAACGATGAAAGATAATGACAAACAAGTTGAAAAAACAAGAATAAGATCAGTTTCGTATAAAGTCATCATTTCGCAAGTCCTATGGTCGATTATATGACCATATCAGCAAATACAATATACTAGTATGATGAAGTCAAATGCAGAAAGACGTTCAGTCATACAAATTGTAATGCCATTACATTATTTACACACGACTAATTTTTTTCCATTTTTGCCGATCATGTCAATGAGCACACGGCAGGTGTGACTGGTCGGCAGGGGATGCTCACTACTCCATGGCACCCGAACCAAACTATGATGTTTTAGATGTTTGCCCTGCTCCTGATTTACATTGGTGGAATGAACATGTGAGTTTGAGTACTGTTCGTTGTCTTCATATATGACACCACTAACAACTGTATCCCAAAGAGAGAAATAATGTCTTATTTTAAATAATTCAATGCATTTTCAATGACTTTATTTATCAAAGTCATTGAAAATGCTTTGAATTATACAAGAAATAAATAACTTCGATGGTCTAAACCTCAATCTCAGTCCCCAAGATGCAGACAATTCTCTCAGACTTTTGTTCAGACTTGTCAGAAGAAAATTTAAACGATATACACGTCTAAGACTAATAAGCAAAAGAAAAAAAACGAGATTAATTTTGAATCAGCCTTTGAAATGTAATATCTATCCATTACACACCTTACATTTCCTCAATTTAATGCAATCTCGGTGATAAATTGTCAGATATTTATTCAAGGATTTTGATTTTACTCTCTTGGATTTTTAAATTATTAAAACCCACACTTTTAGTTATTTCATGAAATATGCGTTTGATCATCAAGGATGCATTCACAATTTCTTAGTGTAGTTAAATTCATGTACGTAAAAGTTTATATTATACTGATGAAATTTGAAGTTATAAAAGATAAATGCTTTTCGCTTTTTTCTTTCTTTTTGCTGCTGTACCGGATAAGGATAAAACGGTTTAGCAATATACATGTCTGTTCATCGAAACAGAACTAACGTTAATTTTGTTCGTCCATATTATGTTCTCTTGACTTATACATTAATTTCGAAGCTACGTTTCTCATCAAATTGTACATGTCCTCTACACTTTCCCTTGATGACAAGGTACTATATAAGAATGGAACGGATATCCCTGTAATCTTATAAAATTAATAAAGGGACAAGGAAATTAGGAAAATTCCAATTAAAACACCATTAGATTTCATTTCGCGGTAGACGCAACAGGATATCTGGTTCTGTGATTAATTCGCCCCTCTAATTTAATTTTCCTCCCTATCACTCGTTTATAATTTCGGTGACAGATTGAAAAACTAATGATTCCAACCAAATATGTACGAAATATCCGGAAATCAAGCTCGACTCTTGATACATGTAGAAATCACGGTCAATATACACGACTTTAATATCGGATAAAACATTCAACTGCCGCTGATCACGTGATTAATTCTAGCCTGATCCGTCATATGGTAAGTATTCTTAGTATCATTCACAGTTCCTCTATGGTTGTACCCTTCACAAACATCCAAGTCATTGTGAGGTCCTCATACTCTATAAATCCGTCCGTACTAGATAGATTAGAATCTGTAAAGCTTATTGGGTGCAAAGAATTTTTGATCAGAAGAATCATACCTTCAACTCTTGTGATGCACACGGTCGTGGACCGTTGCAAAAACATGTAGCAAGAAAGCGGAATCTCGCGATTATTGATATCTTATACCATTCATTAAGGAGTTTCATACTGAATTATTCATGTTACAATGAAAGATCGATTTAATAAAATAGAAATTATGTCTAACTTGTAAATAAATTCCACATATATTTATCCATCTGCAAAACATGGAATTTTGAACATCTTCTATATCTCACTTAAAAATGAAATATTTATTATTTTTTTCGATCAAGGTTCAACATCCATATGATTACTTATTACAATTTTTTTCTGTATAACTTTTGATATTTTCATGGAATAATATAATTTATGAAAAAAAAAATTAAAACATTATTTCATAACACCTCGCTTGGTAAAATTTGAGTAATATTGAAATGGTAATAATATTTCTCTAGTTTTTTTTAATTATATGCATTGCCAAGTTAAGTTTAATATTTTCAATCATGAGTCCTTTTGCCCATAGACTTATTGAGGAAATACACAGAAATTGATCCCCTGTTCCATATTTTGGGGGTACAGCGCTTGTCTTTTGAAAAATCTACGTAAATAAAAGACGCAATCGAAGAATGTTCTGCACTTTCATGCAAGGGTTCATGGAACTCTATCATATGTGAAAACTAAAGCATGCCCGTAATGTTCAAATAAACATCGCTCTTTGAGATAACCCGGGTTCTGACGGGAATCATAAAACAATCGGCTGACACTTCGTCAGCAGGGGGAGATTTAAATTGTTTATACAATAAATAAAACTACTTTTTTTTGCTTTCCCCCTCTAATATAAAGTACAGCTAATTGTGATGGCATAGGTATTGATTATTTGGCCAATATGAAGGCTTTTCAGGAAATTGAACTAACTAGAATGCAATCAATGCATACTGGTGCTTTTTTTCCTTTGCTTCCTTTTTATTGAAAGGGGTACTTTTGGTATATTTCAATAACTGTCAGTTATAAACTGTTTATGCATTTGCTTCATTAAAAAACCTCAAGTACGAAATTGTAAAAATGTGTTTAAGTGAAATGAAATATATAATGATAACGAACAGTACTCAACCTCAAAAGTCCACCAAACAATGTAAATAACGACTAAAGTAAACATGGACCTCCAAAACATCAGAAGTTGGATCAGGTGTCATATGCAGGGAGGAGTAAACATCCCCTGCCGACCGAGCACACACGCCGTATGCTAATTGACATGATCGGTAAAAACAAAACAAAAATCCTTCTTTCTCCTCTCTTCTCTCTCTCTCTCTCTCTCCCTCTCACACACATAAGAAATTTACAGAAAATGTAATTATATATTGTAAAACTATGTATTAGAATCTGTAAATAAAAAAATAGAAGGCAATTTAGTGAGTAAATAATGGTTCAACGATAGTGCAAAGAACGTCATTCAGTATTTGACTTAATGATATATTGTATTTGCTGAGGTATGTATTGTATCGACCATGGAACTTACAAAATGACCACTTTAAACGAGACTGCTGGAATTTTAGTTTGATCTACTTGTTTGCCAATAGCACCTAGTTTTTGAAACGTTGTGTGCAGGTGTTAAGGGTATACTGCTGCATAAGGGAAATGGACGAATGAAAAGTTAAAGACATCGTTTATCAAACTTCGTTGTTAGATTACCGGTACCATTAACGTCTTTTTCTCGTAAAATATCTAAATATGATACAGATGTGTCAGACTCTGTGTTATCTTTTATTTTAAGCTCACTGAGATATATTGAGTCCACATAGGAATAGAAATAACTATTGTTAATTGACAATATATCGTTGATATATATCTAAATGTTGATTTGAATGTCACAGCAAGTTTCACGTAAAGGATTTTGAACAAATTTTGCTTCATACGACATAAATTACAAAAATATGCT